ATGGAGGACAGAAGTGATACTTCCTAAACGGACGAATAAAAGTGTTAAAATGGGCTTGTGGACTGCATGTGTTGATATTGGCTAGTGCCGTCTCACTGCTTTACCTGTTCTAGCGCCTCTGTCGAGACGGTGTACTTCTCCAATGGCGTGAGTTTGATGGATTCTCCCAACTGATGTACCATTTTCCGATAATTTGTGATTCTATCTACAGATACAACATAGTCATCAGCAGAGGCTACCTAAAATGTAAAAAAACAGAATATACTACTTAAGAAGAAAAAGGCTAAAGTCAGTAAGCACTAAAGCGTACCTTGGTCTCCTCGCGTAGTGAAAACTTTTTTAGCAAAAATGAAATGAGTTGTCGCGTTTCCATCTCCTTATTGCGCAAGTCCCGAAGTGCTTCACAGTTGCACTGATAGTTCTCCTCTGCCTTCTCCCGAGCCCTTTTAAAGGTCTTGTCGAGAGACGTCGTGAGGCTTACAACAGCTGTCTTCAGTGCCTCTTGAAGAGGCTCAAACTTCAATTCAATCTCCTTCTGCCTGTTTAACAAGATTGTTCGAACTGTTCGGAGTATGTCTGCCACCCTGTTTAGGCTAGCCATCTTCGACATTTGGCGACTCATCATCTGAATGGAGAACAAGGAAAGTGCGCAGCCGCAAGAAGCTGATTTTGGATGACGTAAAAGAATGCAAAGAGGAGGAGAAGGCGAAGATGAACGAGGACGAGGAAGGCACAAATAGTTCTAAGAAAAGATATTTACAGTATACAGTAGGTTGGTGACTTCCATCGACGGGTTCTTCACCGCGTCTAGTGACGAGGGGACTTCAAGGCGAAGATTTTCTATCGGCATTCGCTGTGTCGTGGCGTTCTGTAAGGCCTACAAATCGCATTAAAAAAAATTGAGCCTTACAGAGTGACGAAAGTCGCTAGCCCCGTCTGACATTAATAAATACTTACAATTGCCCGTTCCAGTACAGAGAAGCCGCCTTTAAGGCGGGCAACCGTCATTGAAATGTCCGAAAGGCGCTGAGCTAATGAACTCATTTGCATTTGTACCCTGTCAACGTCTCTCTCTACGCTACTGCATGGATTCGTCGCCATAAAAGAGCTCTCCAGTGCTGCCATTCTGCTCTCACATGCGGCCTTCTCTGCCCCCAAGGCATTCCTCAGCTCCTCCTCATCCCGCAATCCTTCGTCCCTCCTCATCTTTTCAATCACTTTCTATGCAAAGCATAAAATCTCATCAGAAATTCAAAACAAGGCTGATTGAGAGAAAGTTTAAGCACTTCATCCCACCTTCTTTCAACCCACCGACAATGTGTGGATTGCACGATGGATGT